ATGAGTCATTTAAACTTTGAATAACATTTCTATATTAAAGTATGTTGATACAGTTGTGTCTAAAATGTTGTTAAATGCTGTTGCTAAGCACGTTGCCATGGAAATGCAGAGCACAATATCAAGTTAATACAAGACTCCTGGGACCAAGCAGGTTGAATTGATGTACCATACGTGTGGGTGCACATTTCCTTTTAGGCAGAAGACGATTGAATACTCTCAGCCAATGAGAGAGCAATGAAGGAGGAGGGGGCGGTTCCTGCCTTCTGACTAGTGTTAAAATGTCAGCAATGCTGCTAGATGTAAGTGTAGAGAGTTTTAAGTGTATAGAGCTGGTTGGTTGGTTGGTGTGTTGGTTGGTTGGATGGTTGGATTCCTTAGGCCTAGCCGATCGATTTGATGTCTCTTATGTGTGGGTGTGTAATTCCATTTAGCCAGAAGATGATTGACCTCTCTCAACCAATCAGGGGGCTGGGTGGGAGCGGGGCACTTTCCCACCTTCTGACGGTCAATCAAATTGAACGTGTTTCTACACACAGAACAAACCACACAATAACACAGTATGTGCAAGCGCTTCACCTTAAATTCTCTTTAATTCTCTTGTATGTTATTTTGTGTGTGTGTGTGTGGGGGGGGGGGGGGGGGGGGGGGGGGGGGTCATTTTGCCTTGGCCCCCAAAATGTCTTGAAACTGCCCTGGGTGTGTGACTGAGTTTTGAAGGTGATCTGAATTGGATCAAATGTATAAATATTACATGAGTGTAGTGGAGATAAATCTACCGACATTTTACTTTTCAACACTTTGTTTTGTTTTCTTGTTTTTATTAAACTATTTTCCTGTCCTGTGTGTCTCATCTTCCTGCATCATTTATGACCACATTTGACATACATATTTAAGTTTGTAGAACCAGCGTGAGATAATTGACTTACTGCTGGAAACCGCTGGCTTTTTGATTCCCGCTTCCTGTGAGCCTGCGGGCTGCTGTGAAGCTGTGAGCGAGGCAAAGCCGGAAGCCCTGCCCGTTGGAAACAGCGCGTGTGGACCGACCGTACCAACTTCAGGAATTGGGGGGGGGGGGGGGGGGGATGACTATAATTTCTCAACAATTAAAAACACATTGTTTTGTATTTGCAGACTAACTTTTACGTTGTGGTTTTAGAAGACAATACAGGTTTACTGATAGCATTTATACATTTACAATAACTTTTGTGGGGGGGACAACTTTGTGTGTGTGTGTGTGGGGGGGGGACGCTTCCCCCCCGTCCCCCCTGGGATCTCCGCCTATGCTCCTGTTAACGAGAGAACCCTTGAAATCTGTCCTTCACAAGTGAAATTGGACCTGTCAAACTTCTCATCACCATTCGAAAAGTATTGCACCGATTTGAAAAATTCAAAAAGCGTGAGTGGCAGAAGACTTTGATGATCATCTGTGCCGATTTGTATGTGCCTACCATGAATTGTCTAGAAGCTATGACGATAAACTTTTAGCTGTCTGAAGCCGTTTTGAGGAGAAAATCTCTGATCCTTTAACATGGGTTTCAATGAGAGAAAAGCTGGGTCTCTCCTCCTTCTGAGGCTTGTAGCGAAAGAACGGTAATACTTACAGATAAAATGAAACCCATTCTGAAAAGCTGACAAAAATTCCTACCTTTTGAGGTATAATTTGTTACGGTAATCCAAACGGTCTGGGCGTAGTGAAGAGTTGTTCACAGAAGATGTGGAGTTCAAAACGGCACAGTGCGGAATTCTTAAGTGAGAGTAAGCAGAGACCTTTTTTGAAATTTGAATATTCTCAAACAAATGAACCGTACGGCCACAATGTTTGGAGTACAGTCATGAATTATAGCTCAAACGAAGGTATATTCGTTAGCTGTAAGCCAGCGTGTGTCTCATTTCAATCAGACCTACGGTTCTCTCTGTACAACGCCGGAAATGGAGCAAGGGAGGGTCACTGCTCCTATCTTTCCCCATTATAACTTTTGTGAATTTTCCTGAAAATTTCAAGTCGTACCTCAACTTCTACCTGCGATTTTAGAAAAACCGTAAAAGATATCAAAAAGCCTCTTTAATATGTTTAACAGGAAAGTCTTGGGAGTTTGTTAAACTTTGAAAGAAGTCTCTAAGTTAAAAGGAACCCTAGAGAGTTTGAGGTCAAAAAAGTGATAGGAATTTGCTGAAAATTAACCAATCCCATTCATTTCAATGGGAAATTTTTCGCAGAAAAAGCTTAATAACTCGAAGAATTTGAAAGACATCAATGCCAAAAGTAATAGCCGGAAAGAGCTTAACGAGCTGAACGTTTTGATTTAAAATGGTTGAAATAGCTCCAAATTTGAAGGAGAAGAAGAGGTTCAAAAAGTGTACGGAAGCAGAATATGGAAGAATAAAGAGAAACAGGAAAACAATAGAGACTAGAAAAATTGCATTTGTTGCACAAATGCTGTTTGAATGCTGGACAGCTGAAACTGTAAGCTGAAGTCGCCGAACAGCTGAGTTGAAGCTGAAACAAAGCAGAACTGTCAAAATGAGCTGAATGTATTTAAAGATTTAGAAGCAAAAATCACCAACAAGCGTAATGAAGCTCAGAATATAGGCGGAGAATGGAGAAAAATGCTAAACAGCAGACAATTTTAATCTTTGAACATTTATTAAAAACTCGAAATTTGAAACGTTAAACAGCTGGCATTTGAATGAGAATAGTTTAACGGGTACATTTTTATAATTGGCTGGACTGTGGATTTAGAAATATTTGCTGATATCTGAAACTGATAGATGAACATATGTTCAGATTTGATATGGGATGGATGAAGAGTAGGACGAATGAAATAACGGATGGATTTTTGGATGGATGTTAGATGGTTTATTGGATGGATGGATGGATAGATAGAAGCATGTATGAATTTATATGTAGATGGATGGATTCCTTAGGCCAAGCCGATCAATTTGATGTCTCACATGCGTGGGTGTGTAGTTCCATCTAGCCAGAAGATGATTGACCTCTCTCAACCAATCAGGGAGCTGGGAGGGAGCGGGGCACTTTCCCACCTTCTGACGGTCAATCAAATTGAACTTATTTCTAGTTTTAAGTACAAACAGTTCAAAAACAGGAGTCTGTTAATGGCTCAATATTCTGCTTTTTATATTCATTCCTATGAGACTTGGTTAAAGTGATTTGTAGTTCCTATAATTTCTCAACAATTAAAAACACATTGTTTTGTATTTGCAGACTAACTTTTACATTGTGGTTTTAGAAGACAATACAGGTTTACTGATAGCATTTATACATTTACAATAACTTTTGTGAGGGGGACAACTTTGTGTGAGGGGGGGGGGGGGGGGGACGCTTCCCCCCCGTCCCCCCTGGGATCTCCGCCTATGCTCCTGTTAACGAGAGAACCCTTGAAATCTGTCCTTCAGAAGTGAAATTGGACCTGTCAAACTTCTCATCACCATTCGAAAAGTATTGCACCGATTTGAAAATTTCAAAAAGCGTGAGTGGCAGAAGACTTTGATGATCATCTGTGCCGATTTGTATGTGCCTACCATGAATTGTCTAGAAGCTATGATGATAAACTTTTAGCTGTCTGAAGCCGTTTTGAGGAGAAAATCTCTGATCCTTTAACATGGTTTTCAATGAGAGAAAAGCTGGGTCTCTCCTCCTTCTGAGGCTTGTAGCGAAAGAACGGTAATACTTACAGATAAAATGAAACCCATTCTGAAAAGCTGACAAAAATTCCTACTTTTTGAGGTATAATTTGTTATGGTAGTCCAAACGGTCTGGGCGTAGTGAAGAGTTGTTCACAGAAGATGTGGAGTTCAAAACGGCACAGTGCGGAATTCTTAAGTGAGAGTGAGCAGAGACCTTTTTTTAAATTTGAATTTTCTCAAACAAATGAAACGTACGGCCATAATGTTTGGAGTACAGTCATGAATTATAGCTCAAAACGAAGCTATATTCGTTAGCTGCAAGCCAGTGTGTGTCTCATTTCAATCGGACCTACGGTTCTCAAGGGACAACGCCGGAAATGGAGCAAGGGAGGGTCATTGCTCCTATCTTTCTCCATTATAACTTTGGTGAATTTTTCTGAAAATTTCAAGTCGTACCTCAACTTCTACCTGCGATTTTAGAAAAACCGTAAAAGATATCAAAAAGCCTCTTTAATATGTTAAACAGGAAAGTCTTGTGAGTTTGTTAAACTTTGAATGAAGTCTCTAAGTTAAAAGGAACCCTAGAGAGTTCGAGATAAAAAAAGTGATAGGAATTTGCTGAAAATTGACCAATCCCATTCATTTCAATGGGACATTTTTCGCAGAAAAAGCTTAATAACTCGAAGAATTTGAAAGATATCAATGCCAAAAGTAATAGCCGGAAAGAGCTTAACGAGCTGAACGTTTTGATATGAAATTGTTGAAATAGCTCAAAATTTGAAGGAGAAGAAGAGGTTCAAAAGTGTACGGAAGCAGAATAAGAAGAAGCAGAAGAATAAAGAAAAACAGGAAAACAATATTTTGATTGCTTTTCAGCATTCAAACAAATATGGAAGAATAAAGAGAAACAGGAAAACAATAGTTTGAATGCTTTTCAGCATTCAAACAATAAAGAAAAACAGGAAAACAATAGTTTGAATGCTTTTCAGCATTCAAACAATAAAGAGAAACAGGAAAACAATAGTTTAAATGCTTAACAGCATTCAAACAATTACTGTCTTCGCTCTCACAGTCCCCCATGTCTCCCCACTCCTTCTCATTCACCAAACAGTCGCGCCTACCCACCATTGTTTTCCTTTCGACCAAAGTGGGTCCTCCCGAGAATCTCTTCTGTAAATCCGGATGGATCATAAGAGTCAGTGGCTGTGTCCGAATCCAGAGGTAGGATGCTTGTGAGTACGGGTCCTCGCCGGTCTAGCAAGACTGGGTCCTTGCTAGACTGCTAAAACCGGAAGTCAGCGGCTCTGAATTCGGACAGTACTAGCCTCGTTTTATTCCCGCCCCCAGGTCCAGTTGCTTAGCTACCGTGATGGCGTCAAACAGGCTAACAAGCTAACAAGCTAGTCAGAGGTGAAAATGGATCCACAGCAGTATTCCCTTTTATTTTTGGTTTTTGAGGAGCTGCGACTGCTTAGTAAACGTCACCGGCCTTTGTATTTAAGGCTGAGAAGCAGCCATATCCAGGTAAAATTATTTTTTGTTTAGTGAACCAGCTTTCAGGCATTACATGTTAACTTTAGTGCTAGTTTCATTTATATTTTAAGCAACAGAAAGACATGTGGCTGAATATACACATTAGTATAGAGTAGACTAACATGCATATAGTTAATTTAACCTATATCCATCTAAAATAATTAATGGAATGACATTTTAGAAGTTTGTATTTGATCATAATGCTTGGTTCTGTGCATAAATTTCATAGTAAAAGTAGCATTACAATGTGTTTAATGTGTATTGTCTTTTTCAACTTATGCCTAATAATGCCTAGCTCTCTTCTAAAAATCTCAAGCATTTATACAGGTTTTTTTCCATTGTTTTATTGTTCTCTACTTTTCTTTTAACAGAACAGACCCCTGTACTATAGGATAAACATGAGTGTGCCAGTCCTGGACCGGTTTTTTTTAACCAGGAAGATCCCAGGCCAGATTTTCGTCTGAGCAGGGAGTCTTTTGTGGTGTTGCTAAATCTCCTGAACCAAGATCGGCGACATGGTTGGGGTGCCACAATCGAGACCCTGGTGTTTCTGTTCTGGTTGGCAAGTGGAACATCCTACAGGGTGGTCTCAAGAGTATTTGGGATGCCTCGCTCAACTGTCCACGACATCGTCCATCGAGTCACGGAGGATGTGGTCGCAATCCTCCACCAGGTCATTCACCTCCCCAAAACCCCAGAGGAGATGGAGGTTGTGTCTCGTGGGTTTGCTGGGCTGGCTCGACACAGAGCTTTCATGAAAGCAGCAGGTGCGATCGACGGCTGTCACATTCGGATCAAGGCTCCGAGCGGTCCTGATGGTCAGTGCTACAGAAACAGGAAACTGTTCCCATCTATCATCCTGCAGGCAGTTTGTGACCATCAGGGCCGCTTTATCGACACCTATGTGGGCTGGCCTGGGTCGGTCCACGACTCCAGGGTCCTCCGGCACAGCCCACTGTACAGGCAGTCAGCCTTTCCTCCTCCAGGGCACTTCATCCTCGTGGATGGAGGGTACCCATGCCTCCAACATCCACTCCCCCTCATCACCCCCTACAAACAGGTGGTTCAAGGTGTGGGAGCCCAGCGCTTCAACAGCCATCATTCCAGGGCACGCTGCATCATCGAGCGTGCTTTTGGAATGAAGACCAGGTTCAGGACCATCTTCCTGAAAGCGCTGGAGGTCCACAGCACCTTTGTACCTCATGTAAGTTAACACAAAGTGGAAATAAACTTTGGGTGTAATCTTTGTTTGGGAATGAAATATAAATTAAATTTTTATCTCTGTTACAGGTCAACACAGCATGCACCATCCTGCACAACATCTGCCTCAGTGCTGGTGACATTGTGGTGCAGGACAATGAACTGGAGGATGATGCTCCAGAAGATGAGGGGGAGGCTGGTTTGGAGGCAGTCAGTGGTGCCCTCTGGCGGGACCAACTTTCTGCTGAGGTGTCTGCTCTGGAGGAAGTACCACCATATCACAATTACTGTTAACAGGCAAGTAATTTACGTAGGAATCTCTAGTTTAAAAATCATTTAGTCCTGTTATCTGCTAGAGTACAAGTATCATACTCATGATCTCCTTTTTTGCATATATCTGAATGTTAGTGATGTGACAGCCGTCGATTGAGCCAGCCCAGCAAACCCTTTTGATGGACGATGCAGTGGACAGTGAGATGAGGCATCCAGAAGCACCCTCTGCAGACCACTCTGTCTGATGTTCCACTTGCCAACCAGAAACGTTCAGCCACGGATCTCGGTTCCTGCACTCCATCCACCTCGATCCATGTTTAGTAGATTTAGCAACACCACCAAAGACTCCCTGCTTTCCAAGTTTACTGTATATATTTTACTTTTATCTTTACTTTTATTCCTTACAGTGTTCCCTTACCATTTATTTACTATGTTGTTACTTGTTAAAAACTGAATAATAAAACTGTTAATGATCAAAAAAGAGTTATCAATTAATAGAAATTTTATTACATTTAAACAAATAACAAAAACATTCAAACACATATATAGAACCTGAACCAGAAGAAACTAAAAGAAAAAAAAACCCATTTCTCTGCCATCCTTTCCATCAATGCTAAAAATCTGTCCATCCTTCTTTCTCTCCTCTCCTCTGCTTCCCTCTGTTGTCTCATGTCCTCCCTGATCAGGTCAAGGAGCTCATCAGCCCTTCTCCTTTTTCTCCCTGATGAGGAGTCCGGCTTCCTTCCACCACTCTCCCTGTCCTCTGTCTCACCCACTGCTGCACTTGGCCCTGGAGTGTCCTCGGGAATGGAAGCAATAAGGACAGGAGGCATAGTGGAAGGCCTCTGTCCCAACACCTCGTCCATGGGACAAACCAGGGCCAGGTTTCAGCAGTGGGCTTTCCGCTGACTCCCTCTCCTGACCCTGGATACTTGCAGTCCTACAGACAAAGGGAATTAGAATTACAAGGCTTTATTGTCATTTAACAACAGAGAACACTGTGGGCATAATGAAATTACAGATGCTCCTTAAAGGTACTGGTTCTGGATGAGAATAGAGAGTAATAGAAGAACAAAGTCAGATTATAAATCATAGTTGATAAAACATGCAATAAACAATATTTTAATTTATCAACATGGGAGATGAAAATTGTGTTCTGTTTTTTCCGCCTAAAATGAAATTAAAAACATTAAATCAGTAATGTGGTTTCTTAAAAATTAACTTAAATAAACATTAAACTTAGTTTTCGTTATTTTTGTCGTTCGTTACATGATTACATAAGATGCAAGCTCTTTTACGGTGAGTTTTTTCCTATTAGACTTTCAAGCAAGTTTACGGTGGGGTGTTAACCTTAAAACAAATGATGAGAAGCTTTATTCGCTAAATAAACACACACACACGGGAATTATGACGGGACCACCATACAAGCTCGTTCTCGCTGATTTCTGCTTAAAATGTACTAATACAAACGAAAAATGTCTATAAACAGAACCGCTTTCAGCTTAGTTTTCTACCGCTATTTTCTTTTTAAAAAGCCTGCTGGGATCAAGCTAGTTTACGGTGGGTTTTTCCTATTAAACATTCAAGCTGGTTTTCGGTGGGGCATGTTTTAGCCTTAAATTACATTAAAAAAAAAACAATTTGCGGTATTAGATCTTATATAAAAAACAAACCAAAAGTGCCCAAACACGTATTTTATTTTTTTGACCGCTATTTTTTTAACTAACTTACATTTTAAGCTGTACTGCTGTCCCGCTCCGTCCGCCGTTGTTGCGAGTGTCGAGTCCAGCGGCCGGCGTGCAAAGCATGCTGGGATACCCTTGCTCCTGTGAGGATCCATCAGACCTATCCTCGAAATGTGGGTGGAGCGAGGACGCGTTTGAGGACGCGAGAATGAGGATTCTTGGAATTCGGACAGTACTCGTCGCTGCGCTTTGACGTCATCGACCTCAAAATGCGCACTCACAAGCATCCTACCCGTGGATTCGGGTCGGCAACATGGCGGCCTGAGCAGTTCTACCTTTTCTCTGCTCCTGGTTACTTTCCTCAAAATTACTGCTTAAAACTTGTATTTCCCACCGAATCACATTGGATTTTATAGAGTTAAATAGGGCAGTCTATTAAGATGTCTAAGCTGAAAGCCAACACTCCAGCTTCTGCTCGGAAACAAGCGGACCACGAATATGCCATGGATATGGACCGCCAAAGTGATAAAAGACCCCAAGATGCGTCGGCTCCCTCCACACCATCTAAAGTTACCGCCTGTAGGGTACCGAAACCGAGTGATGACGAGGTATCATGTTCCGTGATCTTGGCTGCTATCAACAAACTCACGGTCAAATTTGAATCGCAGGAAGAGCGCATGAAAGACCTTGATGCTAAGCTAACACAAAACTGTGCTATGCTAATTAACGTGGCTAAAGCAACCGAGTTCAATGCGGCTGAAATTAAAGACTGTAAGCATAAAGTGAACGACATAGAAAACGAAGTGGCCGGTTTGAAATCTGAACTCACACTGTTGAAAGAAAAATGTCGTGAACTTGATAATTACAAAAGAAGATGGAACATCAAAATTAAAGGTTTGAAAGAATCTGCAAAGGAAGACACACGTCAGGTTGTGATAGACCTTCTCAAGAAGACTGCGCCACAGTGGGCAGAGAAAATGGATGAGATTGTGGATACTGTACACCGCGTCGGTCAGAGGGAAAATGGAAGAGTGAGAGATGTCATCATTCAATTCCCTAAACAACACCATAGAGACGCCTTTTGGAAGATGACAAAAAATTCAAAGATCTGCCAAGATGCAGGCATCAGGTTCGCTGAAGACCTCACCAAGGAGGTTAAAGAAGCAAGGGAGGTGCTGTGGCCACGGATCAAGCAAGCACGTCAGGAGGGGAAGAAGGCCTACTTCCGTGGTCCTTATGGATATATCAACAGTCGGCGTATTACATAGTATGGGAATCTTTAGTTATGAGGAAAAACCAGACTTATCCTTCTTTTTCCTAGAAGAACTCTACGTGACTTTCTCTCTCTTTGTTATTTTTTGTTGTGAGTTTAAGCTGCTGCGAGGTTACCCAGCAGATGAATGTGTTAAAAGAAACTTTAAACTTTGGTTCTCTTAATTCTAGGGGTATTAAGGACAACTTAAAATGAAAAGCAGTGTTCTTACACTGTAAAGGAAGGAACTACCAATGTGTTCTTCTACAAGAAACTCACTCCTGTGCTTCTGATGCCACCTACTGGACAGCGCAATGGGGAGATAAAATTCTCTTCAGCCATGGAAGCAACCACTCAGCTGGAGTTGCTATATGCTTCAACAAATGTCCCGGTAATGTTATCTCTTTCAGATCGGACAATAATGGCCACTGGTTGACTGCGGTTTTAAAGATTGACAATGCATACATAATTCTAACCAATGTTTATGGATATAATAATGCCACACAGAATAGGAAGTTGTTCCTAGAAATCAGTAATGTTGTTTCTGACTACAAAACTCTATTTCACACAGACTTAATTCTGTTTGGAGGAGATTTTAATCTCGCACCTGATGATTATTTGGACAGAGACCCATCGAAATTTAATGTTTCGCACGTTAATCCAATTTTGAATGATTTATGTAACTCTTTCTCATTGATTGATATTTGGAGAAACAATAATCCTAATACCAAGCAATTCTCATGGATTAAACCTAATGGAATGATAAGATCAAGAATTGATCTATGGCTGGTTTCCCCACCGTTAGCCAATATAGCTACAGACGTTTTTATCTCTAATGCGCCTCTAACTGATCATTGCCTAATTTCTCTTAAATTAACTCCAGGGATAAACACAAAAAAAATAATGTTTTTTGGAAATTTAACTCTGATCTTTTAAAAGACAGTGAATTTCGAGACTTGATTAATAATCTAATGTTAGAAATTAGATATGATGTCACAATAGGAAGTTATTGCAATAGATGGGAATTTTTCAAATTTAAAGTAAGGCAATCTGCAATAACTTTTGGAATTAAGAGAAGTAAATCCTTGAGAGAAAAAGAAATTAAATTAATACATGAACTTGATGAATACTGTATGAAAACTCCAATGTTAAATGCAGACAGAGCCACTTATATAAACCTTAAATCTAAGTTGGATGAGCTGAGCTCTCGGAAAGCTAGAGGTGCTTTTATTAGATCAAGAGCGAAATGGCTTGAGGAAGGTGAACGCAATACCGCATACTTTTGTGGACTTGAAAAAAGACGACAGGAGAGGAATTTAATTAATTCACTTATCATCAACGATGTAGAATGCACGGATACCAAAATTATTGCTGAAGAAGTTTATACATTTTATAAAGACCTCTATTCATCATCTAGTGGCAATGAATCAAACCTATTGGATAATATTACACATCTCATCCCAAAAATCAGTCAGGAATTTAAAATGATATGTGATGCAGAGATTGAGATTTTTGAAGTAGAGGCAGCAGTCAAACAACTTTCCGTTGGGAAATCCCCTGGTCAAGATGGTCTGACATCTGACTTTTATAAACATTTTTGGAATAATATAAAAGATCTTCTCTTTTTTGCATTACAAGAATGTATCCAAACTAAGTCTTTGATGCCGACTATGAAACAAGGACTCATCTCTTTGATTCCGAAGAATGGCAAAGATAACAAAATTGTAGGCAATCTAAGACCAATTACGCTCCTTAATGTGGACTACAAAATACTCGCTCATGTTGTGGCTAATAGGCTCAAAGAAGGTATTTTACAAATCATCAGCGATTCCCAATCTGGGTTTATCAGGGGTCGCTCCATGCATAATCTACAGTATATGTACAGTCTATGATAACAACATTAGGTTGGTCCTAGATTTGTTAGATTACAGGGACACAATTGAGGATGATGGCTTTGTTCTTTTTTTGGATTTCTGCAAAGCCTTTGACCGAGTCAACCATTCCTTCATGTTAGACACGCTACACCATTTTGGCTTTGGAACAAAGTTGTGTGAAATTGTTCAAACCTTATACAGGGATATTAATAGTACTGTACTGTT